CTGCTGCCTTGCCCTGCCCTCTCCAAAATTGTATTTTTTGAATTATTTTTTTCAAATAATGCACATGATACAGAAACATAGTGAAAAGGAGATATCTCTCTAATCTCTGTCCCCAAAGTAACCAGTTTCTCTCTTCCCAAAGCAGGCACTCTTACCAGGACACTGTATCTTCCCAGAGACATACAGATATTAGGAGAGTGGGTGTTTTGTGTATGTAGATATAATTTTACAAAAACAATAGCATACTATTTTGCACTTTGCTGTTTTTATTCACCCTATCTTGTAGATTATTCTATGTCATACCAAACTACTTCATTCTTTTCATCAGCTGCACAGTATTTCATTAAATAAATAGATCATAATTTGTTTAACAAGATCTCCACTTGTTAAGATCTTGGGCAGTTTATATTGTTTTTTCCTTTTATAAACAATGTTGCAACAAAGATATTCACTATTTTACATATGTAAAAGTTTATCTTTAGGAAAGATTCCTAGAAGTGAAATGGTTAGGTCAAAGGGAATGTAAATTTTCAGTTTTGATAGATGTTGTTAATCTATTTTTCACAGAGATTTTACACCCTAACTAGAGATACATGAGAATGACTGTTTCTATATATCCTTGCCAATAAAATATTACATTTTTGATTATTTTCAACCTGATGTAAAAATGGTATTTCATATTGAATTTTTAAATTATGAGAGAGCTCAGACATCTTTTTATATGTTTACGAATCATTTGATTTTAATTTTCTGTGACCTACTATACTATGTCTTTTACCTATTTTTATATTGTTATTGGTCTTTTTTCATTAACTTGTCTATGATATGCATTGCAAACATTTTGCTATTTTATTTAGTTGGTTTATGTCTGTTTTTTTGCTACACAATTTTTCTATCATTAAAAGTCAAATATCAAGGAAATAAGAGAGGACACAAACAGATGGAAAAACATTCCATGCTCATGGTTAGGAAGAATTAATATTGTGAAAATGGCTATACTGCCCAAAGTAATTTATAGATTCAATGCTATTCCCATCAAGCTACCATTGACCTTCTTCACAGAACTGGAAAAAAACCACTTTAAACTTCATATGGAACCAAAAGAGAGCCCTCATAGCCATGATAATCCTAAGCAAAAAGAACAAGGCTGGAGGCATCATGCTACCTGACTTCAAACTATATTATAAGGCTACAGTAATCAAAACAGCATGGTACTGGTACCAAAACAGAGATATAAACCAATGGAACAGAATAGAGGCCTTGGAAGAAACATCACACATCTACAACCATCTGATCTTTGACAAATCTGACAAAAACAAGCAATGGGGAAAGGATTTCCTGTTTAATAAACAGTGTTGGGAAAACTGGCTAGCCATATGCAGAAAGCTTAAACTGGATGCCTTCCTTACATCCTACACTAAAATTAACTCCAGATGGATTAAAGATCTAAACATAAAAATCTAACATCATAAAAACCCTAGAAGAAAACCTAGGCAAAACCATTCAGGACATGGGCATAGGCAAGGACTTCATGACTAAAACACCAAAAGCAATGGTGACAAAAGCCAAAGCAGACAAATTGGATTTAATTAAACTTAACAGTTTCTGCACAGCAAAAGAAACAATAATTAGAGTGAACCGGCAACCAACAGAATGGGAAAAAATTTTTGCAATCTACCCATCTTACAAAGGCTTAATATCCAGAATCTACAAAGAACTAAAGCAGGTCTACAAGAAAAAAAACAAACAAACCCATTCAAAAGTGGGCAAAGGATACGAACAGACACTTTTCAAAATAAGACATTTACGAGGCCAAGAAACATGTGAAAAAATGTTCATCATCACTGGTCATCAGAGAAATGCAAATCAAAACTATACTGAGATACCATCGCACACCAGTTAGAATAGCAATCATTAACAAATCTGGAGACAACAGATGCTGGAGAGGATGTGGAGAAAAAGGAATGCTTTTACACTGATCGTGGGAGTGTAAATTAGTTCAACCATTGTGGAAGACAGTGTGGCAATTCCTCAAGGATCTAGAAATAGAAATTCCATTTGACCCAGCAATCCCGTTACTGGGTATATACCCAAAGGATTATAAATCGTTCTATAGACACATGCACATGTATGTTGATTGTGGCACTGTTTACAATAGCAAAGACCTGGAACCAACCCAAATGCCCATCAATGATAGACTGGAAAAAGAAAATGTGGCACATATACACCATGGAATACTATGCAGCCATAACAAACAATGAGTTTGTGTCCTTCGTAGGGACATGGATGAATCTGGAAACCATAATTCTCAGCAAACTGACACAAGAACAGAAAACCAAATACCACATGTTCTTGCTCATAGGCGGGTGTTGAACAATGAGAACACATAAGCACAGGGAGTGGAATATCATCACACACTGGGGTCTGTTGGGGTGGGCTAAGGGAGGGATAGTGGGGGGGGTGGGGAGGTTAGGGAGGGATAACATGGGAAGAAATGCCAGATATATGTGATGGGGGGATGAAGGCAGCAAACCACCTTGCCATGTATGTACCTATGCAATAATCCTGCATGATCTGCCCATGTACCCCAGGACCTAAAGTACAATTAAAAAAAGAAAAAAAACCCTGTTACACTAAAAAAAAAATAATAATAATAATAAAAAGTGAAATATACTTAAGAGAATGAAAAGACAAGCCATAGACTGGGAGTAACTCTTTGCAAAACATATCAGATAATGGACTGGTATCCAAAAACAAGAACTCAAAAGTCAACCTTAAGAATACAAACAACCCAATTAATATCTGAATCAACATCTTACCAAAGAATATATGCAGCTGGCAAATAAGCATACTACAAGATGTTCAACATCATTTGTCATTAGGGAATTGCAAATTAAAACAATAAGATGCAAATTAAAACAATAAGATACTGCAACACACCAATTAGAATGGCCAAAATCCAAGACATTGACAACACCAAATGCTGGCCAGGATGTGGAGCAAGAAGTCCTCTCATCCACTGCTAGTGGAAATACAAAATGATACAGCCACTTTGGAAGATAGTTTGACATTTTCTTAGAAAGCTAAGCATACTCTTTACTATATGATCCAACAATTGTGCTCCTTGAAATTTTTACCCAACTAATTTGAAACTTATGTCCACCTAAAAACCTGTACATGGATGTTTATAGCAGCTTTACTTATAACTGCCAAAATTCAGATACAAACAAGATGTTCCTTAATAAGTGAATGGTTAAGCAAAGTATGGTATATTCATCATGCAACAATACAATTTTTTAAATTGTGATAGTAAGCTATAAAAAGACATGGAGAAACCCTAAATGTATATTGCTAAGGGAACACTCAATCTGAAAAGACTACATATTGTATGATTCCAACTGTATGACATTCTAGAAAAGGCAAAACTATAGAGACAGTAAAAAGACAAGTGGATGATAGGGGCTCAGGGGGAGAAAGGGAGGGAGGGGTGAATAAGGGAGCACTGGGGATTTTCTAGGGCAGTGAAACCATTATTTGGTATGATACTTTAATGGTGGATACGTTTCATTATACATTTGTCAAAACTCATAGAATATACAACACAAAGACTGAACACTAATGTAAATTATGAAATTTAGTTAATGATAGTGTATTCATTGGCACATGAACTCTAACAAATGTACCATATTAATGCAAGATATTAATAATAGGGAAGTGGTGGGGTGAGAGAGTATATGGAAACTCTCTGCACTTTCCATTTTTTTCTGTAAACCTAAAACTGCTCCAAAAAGTGACTATACTGAGCCCACACTTAATAAGTGGAGCCGTGCTTTTCTTCCTTGAGGGCAAAATATCTGTAAAAGTCATTTGTAATTCTTCTCCAAAGAAAATTTGTCTCTTCTTCCCCAGTTGTTTACTCATTAAATCATTTATTTATACTGGTAAGGATTCATAGATGTTTATTTTATACTCCTAGCTATCTCACCTTGTTCCAGCTTTGGCTGTCGACTGCTATTTCAGGTGGCTTTTGTCTCCCTTTTAACATACTCCCATCAATGTGGGGTATTGTTTTTGTTTGTTTTTTGAGAACTTTCTTACTTTCTGGCCTTACAAATGCTTGAGGCTTATCATATATATTTCCTGTCTCAGTCTTATAATCATCCATGTCTCAAAAAATCCTTGGTTCCTTTTATTAGAGAATGGTCTAAGGAACCAACATCTGGGAACCAGGTATGCTCAATGTTAGTGGAGCATTACTGCCTCTAGGCCCTCTCAGTTGACAGAGGCAATCAATATATGTATACAGCTTTATTTATTTTATTTTATTTTATTTTTTTGAGACGGAGTTTCGCTCTTGTTACCCAGGCTGGAGTGCAATGGCGCGATCTCGGCTCACCACAACCTCCGCCTCCCGGGTTCAGGCAATTCTCCTGCCTCAGCCTCCTGAGTAGCTGGGATTACAGGCACGTGCCACCATGCCCAGCTAATGTTTTGTATTTTTAGTAGAGACGGGGTTTCACCATGTTGACCAGGATGGTCTCGATCTCTTGACCTCGTGATCCACCCGCCTCGGCCTCCCAAAGTGCTGGGATTACAGGCTTGAGCCACCGCGCCCGGCCCACAGCTTTATTTTTAACACCAATTTTTGACACATGTGACATTTATTTTGATGTAATTTTAAGGCAGAAATTCGAATTTAATTTTTTCCCACTGTTTTTATAGCCTGTATTGAGACTTCAGTTGGCCATTTCTTAGTTGAGTGGCGTCAGAAAGATTATTTAACTTCTGTCATTCTGTGTTTCCTCACTAGTGAGGTAAAGTAATAATACCAGTCCTACATGTCTTTCAGAGCTATAATAAGGATAAAAATGAGATGATAGTCTGGAAAGTTCTATGTGGACTTAAAACACTTTACAAACATATGATGTAATTATTAATCACTGTTGTACTGAAAAGCACTTTTATTAGAATTAGCATTCCTCAGTCAGCAAATAACTAACCTTCTTTAATTGAGACTTCCTTTGCTTGCATTACTTTTAATAAACAGTTAGTCTTTTCCAACTGAATATCCAGTATATTGTTCTTTCCATTGGTTTCTATAATTTTCTGTAGAAGAAATAGATTACATATTGTTAACAAATCAATGCTGCTAATTTAATTTTTTATTAAGTAATGAAGACTAATGAAAATACAAACCACTTAATATCTGAAAGTCTAATAACAAAATACATATATAGTCACGTACTGCATAATGATATTTTGATCAAGAACAGACTGCATATATAATAGTGGTGCCACAAGATTATAATGGAGCTGCCCTATACAGGTGTACCAATTTTAACTTTTATACCATATATGTACTGTACTTTTTCTATGTTTAGGTATATAAATACTTAGCATTATAATTGCTTCCAATATTCACTACAGTAACATGCTGTATAGGTTTGTAGCCTAGGAGCAATAGGCTATACCATAAAGCCTAAGTGTGTAGTAGGCTACACCATTTAGGTTTATGTAAATATACTCTATAATGTTCGCACAATGACAAAATTACCTAATAATGCATTTCTCAGAACATATCCTTGTCACTGAGCAATATATGACTGTATTTAAAATAAGCCCATTTCCCAATTTATTTTCAAATTAAAAAGTAACATGGTAAAATATTAAAACAGACTATTAGTTATAAATTAAAAGTAAAAATATGACCTAACTTGAACTACTTTCTTTCTAACTAACTATTCAACTCTCAGTCCCATGGTTAACAATTCCTTATATATGTTTCAAGACTATTTTACGACTGTACAGATACAGAAAAAAATCATATTATATTCTGTTCTGCACCTTGGCTGTTTCACTTAGTACTATTATCTGGAAGATGATGTCATGTAAGCACACATAGATCTACCTCATTCTTTTTAACAGCTACACTGAGTTTCATTTTTGAATATGCTGTAATTTATTTAAACAGTCTCTTATTGAGACAGAGAGAGACAGAAAAAGAGAGGCCATATTCTAATTTTTGTAATGAATAAACATCCTTAACCATATCTCTTCAATATCTTTGTGAATAGTATAATAAGGCTGCATATACTTTTCAAACAGCTTCAAAATCAATTCATGAACAGTCTTGTGTAATCTATATCTCTACCCACTACCCTAGTCTAATCACTTTTGAATTGATCTCAAAGCAACTCTCTGACCTTTTGTTATTTCACCTGTTAATATTTCCATTCATATGTATCTCCAAGAGATGACTCTTTCAAAATATGGCCACAATACCATCATTACCTCAAAAATGAACATTTATTTCTTATTTAAAATGTTTAAGAATATAACAGATATTTCCAAATTAATTTCCAAAATCATTGCACTAATTCCTCTCTCAGCAAAAATGCTTCTTATTCCTTTCTCTTCTCTCTCCTAGTATGTTAAAAATCACTTGGTTAAGAACACTTAACTTTATTGTTTAAAAAATGCTCATAATGTTACCTTAAAATACCTACGACCATAAAAATTATTTCATTATGACATTTGTGTGTGTGTGTGCTGAGGTAAAGAAGAAATAGGAAATAATTATCAGAACAGAGAAAATAGAGATAAGTAGTACTCTCCTTCCCACTCTTGTTTAGCAAAGTCACTCCCCAATTCTTTCATTTAACCACCTACATTTTTCAACAGCTATTGAAGGCAGAGGAGGGAGGAAAACCTCAATATACACTTGTAGGTTTGGTCTACAATTGGTCCAGATTCAGAGAGAGAGACTTTAAATGGCTTTGCTTTTAGGCAAAAGAGAAGGAAAAGGGAACAGATAGAATAGGAAATGCTAAAAAATGAGTAGCTATAATAACAGATTAAAATATGCATCTACTTCAATGTTTCCTGAAACCATTCATGAGTTTATGGACAACCTAGGTTTTCAAGTACAGCAATCCCCCTTTATCCTTGGAGAGATATGTTTGATGACCTCCAGTGGATGCCTAAAACCTCAGATAGTGCTGAACTCTATAATGATTTTACCTCTACAAATTTAACAATGATAAATTTATAAATTAGGCACAGTGAGAGATGAATGATAATAACTAATAAATAGATCAACCATAATATACTGTAATAAAAGTTACATGAACGTGGTCTCTCTCTTTCTGTCTGAAATTATCTTATTGTACTGTACTCACTCTTCTGATAACTGAGATGGCTACCAAGTGACTAACAGACAATTGGCCTATACAACATGGATACACTGGTCAAAAAGATAAATCATGTCCTGGGCGGGACTGAGAGAGACAATGAAAGATTTCCTTATGCTACTCAGAATAGTGCAGAATTTAAAATTTACGAATTGTTTATTTTGGGACTTTCCCATTTAATATTTTTGGACCGCTGTTGACCTCATGTAGGTGAAACCATAGAAAGCAAAACCTCAGATAAGGGGGACTACTATATGTAGTTTCTGCTTAACTTCAGCAAAAGTACATAAATTATTTATTCCCTGTCCTAGGGACATTTTGATGTATTAGTACAAATAAGTCAAAGCCAGATGCATTTGAAACATGGATTTTTAAAATGAAAGAGAAGAGCGTAGCAAAATATATTATTACCTTGATCATTTTTTGGTACATTTTTCTTTTTTCCCAACTTCTTCCCTTGGTAAAATTTGTTCCATGTTCCCCTATATATTACAATTGTTTTCTATCTTTACATACCTTTTCTATCTGTGAGAAGTCATTTATAAGTTTGTCAAGATTCACACTGTTAATCTTTTTCATACATGCTTCACTGCTTTGGTCCATGCCTGAAAGTAATAAACAGTAGATAGTGTTAAATAAATCAATCTAAAGCACCACAGATGTGGTCATAGCTCAAACACTAACGTTTCTGTATTCCACTCATAGGGAATCTACTTGGGCTCTATTGCACTCAGAGAATTTTTGTTATAACCAATATTAACAGTGGTCAGGCTCATGCCTATAATTTTAGCACTTTGGGAGGCTGAGGCCAGCAGATCACCTGAGGTCAGGAGTTTGAGAGCAGTCTGACCAACATGGAAAAACCCTGTCTCTACTAAAAAAATACAAAATTAGCCAGGTATGGTGGCACATGCCCTGTAATCCCAGCTACTTGGGAGGTTGAGGCAGGCGAATCGCTTGAATCTGGAGTCAGAGGTTGTGGTGAGCTAAGATTGTGTCATTGCACTTCAGCCTGGGCAGAAAGAGTGAAACTCCATCTCAGAAAGTGTTAACTAGTCCAAAGTAAAATGTTAGGTAAAATTCCTCATATAGCTACTCAAAGCAATTCGGAGGCATACTAATGTTTAAAAAGAAGTTAGCTAAAACAGACATTGCTTGACAATATGTTACTTCATCAAGATATCTAATTATCTTCTTTTGAAATATTATTTTGCATTAGCAACAATTATCTTATGTATGACATATGTAAGTACAACTATATATAAAATCTCTTAAATAGTTAAAACTTGATCCTTACAGCAGAAAAATATTTTTAATATCCTCTCATAATACAGCAAAATTCCTTTTGGAGTAAAATTAAAAATAATTGCTATTTGATAGTTGTATTATTCTTTAACAGTGCTATATGGTACTCTGAAGTAGTTGATGCAAAATCTCTCCACCTCCAACTTTTTTTTTTTTTTTGGTACCTAACCTTTTAAACAAACAAGGTTTTACTAGGGTTGTGTCTCAGAATCTGGCTCTTGAAATAAATGCATTTATATTTGAGCTTAATTTTCTCTCAACTCCTTCCCCCAAATAAGATCCTGTTATTTCCTTATAAAACCATCACTAATATTCTACTTGCTATCATTGCATGATATCCCTTTTGTCATACTGGCAGAGCCAGGAAATTCATTTCTATATATCTTCATTGTCTGATCTTCTGATTTCCCAGTCAAGATCCTTTCAGTGAATATGGTCTTGCCTGGTGAAATTAGGTGATAAGCTGGTAATTCAGTCCTTGTCAAATTCCTTCGTAAGCAGCAGAGACTGATTTGTGACTTTGCAGGCTCAGCTTCAACAGTCCCCATAGGCAAATGATAGTCCCATTTCCTTCTCTGTCCTTTTGCCTGCTGGCTTCAACCATCCCCACAGGAGAGTGACAGTCCTGTTTCCTTTCGTGGCCTCCTGTCTGCTGTCTTGAGTCCTGGGGCTCGTCCTCTGCCCGACACCTACAGTTGGTCCTTCGCCGTTGGCCTGCCCCATGCTCGGTCACTTCCTCTTCTCCCCTCCTCACTTCCCCTCTCAGTCCCGAAGCCTGGGTCCCCTGGTTCCCTCCCCGGCATCCTAGTGTCCTTAGGAACCTAGCAGAAATAAATGAAGGGGGCTGAGGACCGGCGGATGTGAGAGAAGTGCCTGAGACAAAAACTTGTATGGACCCAGAGCACTGTAATGAGATATAAAGAAAAGCATCTCTACGGAGAAAGCGGGAGTTTCAAACGCTTTCTAGTGTCCCTCGAGGCCTAGCAAAAATAAAGAATGGGGGCCGAGGACCCGCGGATGTGAGAGAAGTGTCTGAGACAAAAACCTATATGGATCCAGAGCACTGTAAGGAAATATAAAGAAACGCATCTCTATGGAGAAAGCGGGAATTTAGAAACGGCAATAAAGAGTTTGGAGCGTACCTGCTGTTGCCCTCAGTTCCCCACAGTCTCCCTTGCCTCTCTATCTCCTCGGGGGCCTAGTACGCCCGTGAATGCTGTCCCCTCCTCCGGAAGCCGGATCCCCTAACAATGGGCCCGACTTTCTCTGGACCCGCCCTGTGCCCTATGCTGGTGCTCCCACCACCAGCAGTTCTTACCAACTTGATCCCAGCTCCCCTCAGCATCTGCTGCTGCTTAGGTATTTTCATATGGTTTCTAGAACATGAATCAACACTGGATCAATAATCGTTTCCCCTATCCAAAGAATAAATCACATTGGGTTCACTGGGTGTTTTGAATTGTGAGTCAACGCCACTGAATAAATAATAATCCATATCTATTCTTGTAACTTATAAAATTGGCTTTTAAAATGCCAGAGCCAGTTAATAGATATGGTTTCCCATTTACGGAGTTCTATCTTGCTAGCTTAGTGATTAAGGGCATGGGCTTTTGTGTGGATTCAGACCACAACTCTTCTCTTTTTCCGTGGGTGATAGTGGGTAAGTTCTTAATTATACACTTCTAAGAGTCTTTATCTGTATAAGAGATTAATAATAAAGCCTGCCTTGGCCGGGCGCAGTGGCTTACGCCTGTAATTCCAGCACTTTGAGAAGCCGAGGTGGGTGGATCACCTGAGTTTAGGAGTTAAAGACCAACCTGGCCAACATGGCCCCCTGTGCCGCCGGTCCCCCCACCCCTGCTGCGTCTCTACTACTAAAAATACAAAAATTAGCAGGGCATGGTGAAGGGCACCTGTAATTTCAGCCACTCGACAGGCTGAAGCAGGAGAATTGCTGGAATCCAGGAGGCAGAGGTTGCAGTGAGCCGAGATCTTACCATTGTGCTCCAGCCCTGCCTGACACAGCAAGAACTCAGTTAATAAATAAATAAACAAATAAATGTCGGTCTGTCTGTCTGTCTGTCTCTTCGGGTGGTTGTGATGATTAAATGAAGTGATGCATTTAGAAGGTGCTTAATGGAGATCCTTACTTAAAGTGAGTGTTCAGAAATGTTAATTATTAGAATTTTTGAATGTTGTTCAGTAATAGTTTGAAAGTGAATCCACTGCCAACTTTGCTTCATCTGTTTTTTTTTTCTTTTTTCCTGAGTGGGAGATGGGAGGTTTATTTTTGCTAAGGTGATTTTTCTATGGAATCCAAAATTTGGCAAGTGGAAAAACATAAACAGTAATATGATAACCCATACTTTACTAGTTGAAAGGTAGTATAACATAATGGCAAGAAAATTATATTAAAGTAGAAAATGTGGAGTGTAGTCTTCACTCTGCTGCTCAAATAAGCTTTCCCTAACATTAGTAGCAACACATAGAAATATTGAAAATGACCTGCCGAATAGCTGGTTCTATCCAATTAGCACATATAAAATGTTCCCTGTGACTCATGTCGTAATAACTTTTAAAACAAGCTCATTTTAAGACCCTAAATGTTAAAATGCTACCTTCTCCATGAGTCATTCACTGATCATATCAATCAGCTGTGACCTACCTTTCCTTACTCTATGGAACACGCTAGCCTTCTGCGGCATTTGTTAACACTGTTTTAATTGATGTATTACCTCTTTTGCTGTATTTATTATTGATTCCTTAGGGGAAGAAACTCTATTTTCTTTATATATATATGTGTGTGTGTGTGTATATATATGTATATATAAATATGTGTGTGTGTATATATATGTATATATAAATGTGTGTGTGTGTGTGTGTGTGTGTGTGTGTGTGTGTATGTATGTATTTATGTATTAAGGTCCATACAGGCCATCCTTAGCAAAATTCAAGAGTCCTTGGAAATTTGTGGTGATTAGAATGTGTAAGGCAGAGAGGCAGCTCCCTAGATCCCCTGCCTCATCTGTACTTTCAAATCTTCTAAATGTTCCAACATTTGGATACAGAGGCTTTGACTATTTAATGATTTTGGGATGTAGAGACTAAGAAAGTTGGAATATAATATATATATATATATGTGTGTGTGTATATATATACACACATATATATATATATATTTATCCATAGAGCCTAACATAGACAAAATAGAAATGAACCAACACATCAGGAAAAAATAAATAAAGTTTAGCTTAATTTTTCTAGTTTAGAGTGGGTCACAAGTTTCTCTTCCAGTTTACAGATGTTAGCATTTTTTTGGGGGGGGGTTGGAGTTTCGCTCTTGTTACCCAGGCTGGAGTGCAATGGCGCGATCTCGGCTCACTGCAACCTCCGCCTCCTGGGTTCAGGCAATTCTCCTGCCTCAGCCTCCTGAGTAGCTGGGATTACAGGCACGCGCCACCATGCCCAGATAATTTTTTTTTGTAGTTTTAGTAGAGACGGGGTTTCACCGTGTTGACCAGGATGGTCT